GGGTGTGGTGTGGCCAGGCCTCTGGGTTTGCCTGGCGGAGCTCCGCGGCCTGCTTGCCAGCACCTCAGGCTCCACCCCACCCGCGATTCCTCCATCTCTTCTCTACCACAGGCACCCTCAGCAGCACTAAACCCAGCCTCTGAGCCCCTGAGAAACTGCCTGGGTCAACCCTGACTCTGGCTGCCTGCCCTGCAGGCCTCTCCTGGCCTCTGGTAGGCAGGGGCTGGCATCCCAGGGTCATCCAGCAGAGTCCAAAGGGCCACAGGGACCCCATCTGCACCCGTTCCCAGTGAGCCCCCAAGGAAGCCCACAGACCACCATGGGCAGGACCAACACAAGATGACAATGGCATGAATGGGGGTGAGCCAGGTGCCCATCACGTGGGCAGAGCACTTCCACTTACCAAAACCACACAGGATAGAACACACAGTTGCGCCTGAAGAGGCACAGAACATTCGACAACAGGGAGACACTACCAGGGTCATGCCCGATGGAGGATGTGGTGTGGCAGGAAGGAGACTCCTGCTGCTCTCCCACCCTTTGGTGTTGTTCCCACCTCTTGTCACTTTTCCAATTAATAAAAATGAGTTAATAAGAACAAGAAGGAGGGTGGGAGGTGGGGGACAGCAGGGGTGCCCCCCTACCTGCTCTGGGTTCTATCCCTGCGCTCCAGGCCCTGCCTGGCCCTGCGGGGCAGGAGGGCTGCCGACCCCAGCACAGCTGACACCGAGGCAGGGGGGCTCCCTGGGACCTCCTCTGAACCCAGGGCTTACAGTCCGCTGCGATGGGTCTCAGGGTCTCCGTGCCACGTGCCGCCCTTCGTGGGGAGGGGACTCATGCCCCTGTCACATGCACCCTCCACCGAGGCAGGGTCAGAGTTCCAAGTGAAGCCCCTCCATCTCAGGCCTCCCTCTTCCCAGCAGCTGGCAATGGCATGGGGTGGGAGAGGCCTCTCCAGTCTCCCATCAGCCCCGATGCTCTCAGAGCACCACCTCGTCCTGGGGTGTGAGCACTCATAGTGAGTCCAGACTCTGGGGCAGTGGCTTCAGGGCAGTCCTTTATGGGCTGCGTGTGTGGCACTGCTGTAAGTCTGTTTGTTGCACACTGATAGGGGGTCTTGGGTGGTTCAGGGCAGTGGGCATTCTGTTGTGATGAATGTAGTCTGTAGGGCAATGCAGGTGGGTTGTGGGCAGCCATGCCCAACGGGTGTGCATCTGTCCTCCTGCACCCTGCAGGGCCAAGAGGTCTGGCTCCCTTCCCTCTGAAGCCCCCATCTCACCTTCACCTGCCTCTCCAACTCTTATCTATTCCTCAACCCTGCACTGCCACCTGCCACAGGGCCTTTGCACGGAACCACAAAGAACCTTCTGACCCCCTCACTACCCCCAACCCTGTGGGTCCCAGTTTGGTTGCTAGTTCCTTGTGGAAGCCTTCTAGGGAAGTAACACCTCTGGGCTCATTACCTTCTGGTTCCCTAGACCCTATTCACGGAGCCTGTCAGGGCATCTTTCCTCCCAAATTCCTCCCAGCCTTCACAGGGGTGGTGGGACTACACCCTCCACTTCGTCCTTGCTACAACCCCAGTGTGCGTGTGTAAACGTTCAGTTATGTGTGTGCATGCAGGCTGTACACGAGGTATCTGGGGCTGTGTTTACCCAGAAATCACGCAGTCCAGAGGGTTCCAGGGGACAGAGGGAGAGTGTGGGCCTGCTGGCACAGCGAGGGTTAATAAAGCCCTCCAGGTTAGGGGTCCTCATGATGGCAGTTAGAGCTCTACTCCCAGAGGTCCGCCTCTTGCACAACGTAGGCACAGAACCTGCCCAAGGGTGAACTGATTCCTCCTGAATACTGCCATTCAGGGCGCACATCCACACCAGACCTGCACCGCGGCGCACACGTGTGGCAGTCTGCATGCCTGCACACAAACCCCCGGCAGCCTGTCGGTCGGACACGCACATACCTTCGTGGCACACATGTACCCATGCACACATGTACATAAACACGCTCGTTCACCCCTGTGCACAGTGCACGGCGGTACCGGGGGCAGAGGAGTTCTCGAAGAAACCGGTAGCGGGGGCTGGCTGAGACGCGATTGACCGGCCCCAGTGCGAGGCGAGAGACCCGCGAGAGGGCGGGGCGGCCGGGGCTGCCCAGGATGGGGCCGGCGCGGGAGGCGCGCAGGAGACGGAAGGGGCGGGCAGGGCCGGCGGGCGGGCGCGGGCGCCCTCTCCCGGCCGTCGGAGGCAGCGCGCCGCCCTTCGCCACAGCTACCGCAGCCCCGCACCGGCCGTCCGCTCCCCTGACCGGAGGCGTCCCCAGGGGCGGACTCCGGGGCCCGGCCGGGCGTGCCGGCCAGGGGCGAGGGCGCCACGGGAAGCTGCCATCGCCCTGGCCGCTTGGCCGGTCCTGCAGGGTCCGCCTCCTGCCGGCCCCGCGGCCGTGTGTCCGCAGGCACCCAGCTGCCTCCGGACCTGGCCAGCCGGGACGCCGCAGACCCGGCACACTGCGGGCCCAGCACGTTGGATCTCGAGACGAGCGCCGAGAGCCTGGGCAGGAAGGGCTCCGTGACAATAACCCGCGTCCCCATTTCACGGACGTGGCCACCGAGGCCCGAGAAGGGCCGGAGCCTGCGGGCAAGGGAAGGGACTTGGGGGACTCGGCAACTTGACCGCGCGTCCCTTCCCGGCCCGGGATCCGGCGGAGTGGGGCGTTATGCTCAGGGCGACGAATTGCCTTTTGTCCGCCCCCGCACGGGAGCGGCGGGGACAAGCGCCCTTCCCCGGGATCGGAGGCGGCAAACTCCCCGCTCGAGCCCCCTGCGCCACGGCCGCCCGGGGAGCCGCGCGCCGCCCGGACGCATTCCCGCCGGTCTCGGGGCTCGCCCCACTCGCCGCCAGGCTTCGGGGCCCCTGGGCCGGCCCCCGCCCCCCCGATCCAGGCGCAACAAGTCTGAAAGCAGCGCCGAGAAGCAGCTAGCGAGACGAGAGGGAGGGCGCTGGACCGAGTGCGGGGCGCTCCGGGATCCCGAACGCGCGCAATGTCCGCCTCCGGGGACCGGGCGCGGAGGACCCGGCGCTCGGGGTTGACCCGGCCGGCGGCCCACACCCCGTCCCAAGACTCCGACCCTTCGCGGGCAGAGGCGCGCCCAGAGCCCCCGCCACTCTCCTTCGCCAGCTTGACCTTGCTCGGGTACTCAAAGCCGGATCCGGTGGCACCCGGGCGTCGGGCGCAGAGTTACACTGCTGCCTACGGTCGAGGTGGGAGCGGCTCCCTCCCTCGCTGCCTCCTTGGCTGCGGGGGTCGTAGAGGAATGAAAGGCTTCAGGGCTCCAGGAGACCCTGCGGCCGCCCTCCCATACCCCAAACGCCGTGTACCGTCTCCCGATGTGGAAACGGTCCCCAACCTGCGTCCGCGCGGCCGCTGCTCGGAGGGGGCGTGTGTTTGTGTCTGTGGGGGTGGGTACCAAGGGTCTCCCTGGGTCCCCAGTGGGGAGTGAGAGCGCAGGCCTCCCAGCCCCCTCCCCAACACGTACGTCAGCCGGCTCCGCGGCGGCGGGGTTTCGCGCCCCCTGCCCACCCACACACCTTTACGCCTTTCAACACCTCCCGAGCTGCAGCTAAGGAATCCTGGTCCTAGAGCCGGGAGAATGGGGCGTGATGGGGAGCACACGAGGGACGGGTGCCGAAGGAGCGGGTGTGGGTTAGGGCTCGTCCGGTCCTTGCCTGGGTCCCTGTGCTCCAAGAAACTTGGAAGCCTCAAATAAAAGTGAGAAGGGTAAGGTATCCAGCGGGCCACAGTCTGATGCCAGGCTGGCGCTCTCTCTGGGCTGCCTGGGAAGTGACCCAGCAGGAGCCGCCGCAGCCCGGCGGAGGGACCCGGCTCGGAGCCGCAGCCTCGGGCGAGCCCTGCCGGCCGCCTCATTGCTCGGCGACTCCCAGCTCGGCCGCCCCCTCCGGAAGCAGGCCCGAGGCACGCTCTGCCCTGTCCAGGGGGCCGCGCGGACCAGGGCGCCTGGCCCGGCCGGGAGCCCCCAACCTTTCGGGAGGGGGCGGGGGCCGTGCTCATTCCTCGAGGCAGCTCCGCGAGGTTCCAGGCGAGCACGGGGGCCGCGGAGGGCTGGCGGCCTCTGCCCGCCGGGACTGGGGACCAAGGAATGCCCGGTGCCTGGCCTCGGTGCTTTGCACAGAGAGGACTCAGGACGACCCAAAGTTCGGAGCGCCTTATCCGCGCGGCCTGCCTGACCCAGTGGAAAAGAAGACGAGAACGGAGCGGGCGTTTGTGGGCGTGTGGGCACGCTAGGGTAGCCCTCTGCCCAGTGTGGGGGACGCGAACCTCCGCGTGGTCTCCTCCGCTAGGGCCGGGTCTATGGGTGAGCGCTGCGAGGGGGACTCTCGGGGCTTCTGGCGCCCACCCGGGGCTGTGCGTGGGGGGAGGACATCTTGGGCCCTTGTGATGTCTGTATGGGGCTCTGTGCGTGATAATATGAGGGCCGCACACTGGGGTGTCTCTCTTGTACCCACCTGGGTCTTTGTGTGGCTGCGGGGTCACATCTGGGGCTCTCAACGACCCCTGCCAGCGTGTGTGTGTGTTGGGGACACAGCGGGAACGCCTTCCCCAGCTGGCCCTGGGTCTGTGCGTGTGATGGGGAGAGGGCGCCTTCCCCGGCCTGCCATCCTGGCCAGGCTGCGTGTGTGCGCGGACTCGGGGGAGGTGAGCGGCGCCGAGAGCCCCTCTCACGTCCGGGGTCGCCCCTTCCTCAGCCCCCCCCCGGTGCGGGCACACGACCTGCCAAATTCTGTTGCCGCCGCTGGAGGAGGCGGGGGCTGGTGGGGGTGGGGAGGGCGTCCAAACTCCCGAGCTCCAAGCGCAAACCTCGGAGCTGCGAAGCCCCAAACGGCGAAGTTAGGAAGTCCGGGCGCCCGCCCCTCCCCCGACCCCCTCCCACCCTCGCTGCGCCCCCGCTCGCCGCGACCCCAGCCCCCAGCGGGGGCCTCTCTTACCTTCCCTAGCAGAGGCGGCCCCACCAGCGAAGACTTGATCCTGTGAGTTGCAAATGCCCAGGAGCGCCCCGCTTCGCCCGCGGCGGAGCCGGGCACCCGACCCGGTGGGGGGGCTCCTCCTGCCGCCGCCCCCGGCCCGCTGCAGGCCTAGCCTGGACGCCCCCGGGAGCGCCCCCGCCGGCGCGCGCAGGCCCCCTCCCCTCCCCCAGCCGGCTGGAGCCCCCTGGGCGCCGCGGAGGTCCGGATGCCCGGGCTGCGGGCGATGCGGGGCGTGCGGCCCGGGCCCGGCCAGGACGCGGCGCGGTCGCCTGTGCTCCCGGATCGCCGGCTCCGCGCTCTCTCCGCCGGGGCCGCCGCCAACGCCGCGGCCGCTGCCGCCGCCTGCGCCTGCCGCTCCCTCTCCGGCCGCCGCCGCCGCCGCTCCGCTCCTCTCGCCTGCCCCGCTCTTCTCGCCTTTTTTCCCCTTACTGGGGGGGAGGGGGGCGAGCCGAGCCGGGGGCGGGGCGGCGCGGGGAGGAGGAGGCGGCCGCGGACGGGGAGGAGGGGGAGAGAGGCGGGCTGCTTCCCCCCACCGGGCCGCCGGCGCTCCCCGATCTCTCGCTCTCTGAAACTGGATCCCGAATCGGGAGCCAGAGACCGCATTACGGATTACATCAGGCTTTATAGAGCTTCCAGATCGCACATTAGAGGGGAGCGCGAGCGGGGGGCGGGGGCGGGGGGGAGGGGAGGGAGATGGGGTGTGGGTAAGATGCACACACGCGTGCACGCCGAGGAGAGCCCAGCTCTTGCCCCACGCAGCAGGATCTCTGCTCTCCCAGGAGCCAAGAAGTGGCTGCCAGCTGTCCTGCTGGATGATGGATGGATGGGTGGATGGATGGATGGACCCATGGCACATGGACAGAGGGAAGGCAGTTATAGGGTGGTGTTCATAGACAACATAGGTGCACGGGAGGATGGGATGGGGGACAGGATGAATGAGGTAAGTGGGTGCAAAGGGAGGAGATGGCCTGGAGGGTGGATGGATGGATGGATGGATGGATGGATGGATGGATGGATGGACAGATGCCTGAAGAGATGGGTGGGCTGTTGGACGGATGGGCAGATGGGTGGACAGGATAGGCGGGTGCATGAATGGATGGGTGGCATATGAGTGGAGGGCAGGAGACATGGGTGAGCTGTGCATATGGAAGGATGTTGTGTGGGTAGGAGGGAGAGAGTGGGTGGGCGGGTTGGACAGAAGGTGGATTCATGATGGGCAGGAGATAGAGTCAGAGGCCAAATCCAGGAGGATCCGAGGTGGGCAGGCGGAGGGAAGGGCAAATTTGAGCTGCCCAGGTTGGGTTTGACAAGTCTTTCCTCAGGGGGACTCCTGTTTGGGAGCGGCTTGGGGAGACCCATAAGGAGGTGGTTTTGAATGGTGAGGGCCAACCCACCATTTACACTGTGTAGCTGTCCTCGGTGACCCCCTCGTTCTCCTCCTCCATCCTCCTTTGAATCGGTTGCAGTCGGTATTTCGAGTGTGTTTTCCATAAACTGACAGAGGCCGCCTGTTAGCTGCTTGTCTCCCATCTGAAAGCATGCAGGGTCCTTCTTCTGAGACTTTTGGCCGGATACCCACAGGTGGCCTCCAGAATGAAATCCAGAATCTTGGAGGAATGATCTCAGGGTCCTTCTCTACTAGGGTGCTTCTGCCTCCCAGCCCCTTACTCCCTTTTTACAACTTGTGGTCCACTCTGAATGGAAGATCCTCTTCCTGAATATCCAGAACTTCACACACTTATCGCTTTAGCAGTCCACTAATGCCTTTGCTGCCCAAGCTCAACATCTGGTCCAACTGTCTGCTTTTCTCAGCAGACTCAGCAGGAGGCCCCATCAGGAATCACTGTTACCATCAAATACTGACCATGATTGTCACCATTCTCAAGCTGTATGTCAGCATCAGCCCCCACACTATTCCACCCTTGACCATCGTCCACCAGTGCCTCTACGTCACCATCACGGTCCACACCATCACCACCAGCACCACCTGCTGGGGCAGGGGTCGGGGAGTAGCTCTGACCCCCGAGGTCATGCTCATCTCAGCAGTGGCACTCTGTCAAAACCAGGCTTTCTCAAAAGGCCAGCTGGGGTCTAAAATTCTAGGGGTGTCCTGAGCATCTGGTCAGAAGGGCCCAGAGATGCAGACCCCAAGACTGGCTGAAGGGCTGGGGAGGGCCTCCTTCACGATCCAACCTCCTTGACAACCCTATTCCTCCCCTCCCTCCTGGGGGGAGGACCTTCTTCCCCAAGTCTTTGAACTGGTGGCAGGGAAGGGACGGAGGTGGTGCCCCCGGGCTGCCTCTGAGGACCCCCAGCTGTGCCTGACCGCCCTTCCCTGCAATCAGCCTTCCCTGCACCTGCTCTGGCTTCCTGGTCTCCTCACCGCACTAGCAGCCCGTGGCCACCAGGGGGCCTCTGATAATAGGCCAGGAGGCAGCGCCTGAGTGCCCGCAGCTCTGAGTCAGGATTTCAGTGGCTGCTTTGCCACCAGCACTTCTCCTGGCGGGTGGGGGAGGGTAGCCGCTGTCCTGTCTCCTCTGCTTTGGGACCTGCTCTGGGATTCCCAGGGTAAGGATGGGGTCCAGCCAACCAGGCCATCAAAGGCAAGGTGGTGTCCGCTCAGACTGGAGCTTCTTACCAGGGCCATGCCTTCCCCTCCCTGCACAGGGGACTCCTTACCTCCCTTCCCAACCTGCCCCTTTTGGAAAATTGTCACCTTGCCCCTGTTCCTGATCCAGAACCCAGACAGTTCCCCCTCCTAGAGGCAGAGAGAGCCTGCACCCCACCCCACCCCCCTTCCCTAAGGAGGGAGAAGTGTCATGTTGGCCTCTGAGGATCAGATATAGGGAAACAGGCCCACTGCCCCTGACCTGGCTCCCAGCTGAATGCCCTGAAAAAAGAGTCACCTGATGCAGCCTTAGTTTTCCTATTGGTACATGAGTGTCTTGAAGGTTCCTTGCATTCCAGACACTCCAGATTCTAGAACTCTGAACCAATGGCTACTCCTGAAATTGCTACCAATTTACCTCCAGTGCCCCTCCACCAACACTTGTTTAAACCCTGGAGCCTGACCATTGGCACCCAAACTGGGGGCCTGGCCACACTGAAAACTCCTAGTGGGGCTCAGCATGGGAGGCCGAAATTGATGGTCCCGTGCCAGACCAGCCCTATCCAGCGGGACACCAGGTCCTACAGCCTCCTCACCCAGCCTCGGGGGGAGGTGACACTTGGCACCTCTAAAGCCCTATTTGTGGCCTTAAATCAAACTCTGACCAGAGCCGTCAACTCAGCCGTGCCCCCTAACTGACTGAGCTCTGATCGTGGATCCTGGTCACACGCTGAGCCATGATGCTCGTCACATACTGAGCCTGACTCCCTGAAGGTCTTACACATCAGCTCTTTGGTCTCAAGGTTGAGTATAGACTCTAAGGCACCCCTGGGGGAAGGGAGGCAGAGGAACAGTGTGGGGGTAGGAGGACCCCACAGTGGAGCAGCAGGAAGCATTCCTCAGAGTCCCGTCTCTTTCCAGCCATTATCACAGGACCATCCCATCCTCAGAGGAAGCAGTGAGGGCCTGGGAAGGGGGGCTTCCTTGAGGTCACGTGGGGAGCAGGGGTGGTCTAGAACTGAGCTCTCTGACTCCTGACCCATGGTATCTCAATCCTGTGCCCAGGGACAGCGGCAGAATGAGGGCCTTTAGCATAGGCACCCTTCCTAAGGCTTCAGGGGCCACCTGGGGCTGGATAGAAGGGGACAGCACAAGATCTCCAGCCCCTGGGCATCCCATGGTCCTCTCCAACTACTCAGTGAGCTTTGCAAGACAGAGGCAAAAGGGTGAGGGGTGGGGGCTGAGCACCACAAGTAATTAGCCGATTCACATGCAGGATAATTAATTGTGGATGCAACACGGGACAATTAGCCTCCCAGCCAGGTCTATGAAGCTGCTGCTACTCAGCAGAGGGAGGCCCTGCCCGGTGCCAGCTCTGCCCTCAGGCATCCCCCTTCCTTCCCAGCCCAGCTCAGCCCTCCGTCTCTCCAGGCTGTGAAACTGGGAGAGAAGGGAACAGAGCTGGGACGGCTGGGGGGAAGGACTGCAGGAGCAGAAGCCCCTGTTCCTTGGGGAAGTGCCAAGGCTTAGGGAGGCACAGCCCTTCCTACGTGCCAGGCACCTTGCAGGCACCACTCTGGGACCCTCCCTGGTTCCTCTGTGCAGAGACCCCTGCTCCTGCCTGGGCTCAGAGGGGACAGTGAGCAGACCCTTCAGGAAGGGCCCCTGTAGCCAGGGCGTGCCTGGAGCTGGGGGGATGGGGAAGCACACAGGGGCTCCTGAGCAGACACTAGTCAGCTTCGATCCCGTGAAGTTGCACGGTCCTGCACTGACCATCACTCTTGCCCCTTGTCACATGCTGAACCCTGACCCCACAGCAGTTTTACTCATTTAGCTGTTGACTGGGCCTGGTCTGGTCCAGACCAGGGCTCTGGTAGGGTCCACTTGGTAGCAACTCAGGGTTAGCAACAGAGGAGGGGGGCAAACTGTGGACCCAGGGTGCTGACCTCCCAGCCTCCCCTCGCCTCTCTTCTCAGGCTGCCCACCGCTGGTGGCAATGGTCAGCGAGGCCTGCCCTCGGCCCAGAGCCGGCATCTAGAAGGCTCTCTCCAGCAGAACAAATGGTGGCCATGGAGTATTGGTTCCACTGGCCACATGTGGCTACTGAGCACTTAAAATGTGGCTCATGTGCCCAAGGAGCTGAATTTTTAGTTTCCCGTACTTTTAATCAGCTTCACTTGAAACAACCACACATGGCTGGAGGCCACTGTATTAGCACAGCTCCGGCTGGCCATCCCAGCTGGTCTGGCCTCCACCCCAGGCAGGGCTCCTGGGCCTGAGGGTGCCTTAGCCTTGTCACTAACTCAACTCTAACCAGTATGTGTCCTGTGGCCCCAAGCCAGAAGTCCCTGTAGTCAGAGGGGCCAGACAGTGTCCTGAATGCTCCATTTTCCAGCTGTGTGACCTCAGGCAAGTTGCTTGCCTGCTCTGTGCCTGCTTCACACGTAAAGTAATAACAGTGGCCACCTATGTGATGTTTGTCATGATTAAATGAGTAAGTCATTTAGCAGGCTTAGTACAGATG